TTTTTTTTCTGTTACTCAACAAATAACCTTTGAGCTCCTATTATGTGCAAAGTCTGGTGCTAGATACCATGAGGAACAGATTATATGTAAGAAGTTTCCCTCAAGGACCATAGACTAGTGAGAGAAATGCATGAGGATTAGCAATTAACCCCAGGACAAAGACTAATGAAGGGAGCTCTCCACAAGCCTTTCAAAAACTCTAAAACTGAAATCCTCCTCCTCATTTTGACCTGCTTTACTCTTTGAAATGACCATCTCAGTTCCAAGTGCCATCATCTGTGTAGCCCATCATCACTGCTGGAAAGCTGGACATCAGCTTAGCTTGTGCTCTTTTCTTCACCCACCACAACTTGCCAGTTATCATCCTATGTAGCTTACTTATAAAGAGTTAAGACTGTCACTGCAATAATCGAACTCTTTTGCCTGTTTCTGTTCTTAATCTCCTCAAATATATTGTGCAGACTCCCACCAGCTCAATGATTTGAAATAATGATTTGCCTGTGTTACTCATCAGCTTAACTTCTATGACTCCCAATTGCCTAAAGGCTCAATTTTTTAATATGGCAAAAATCTCCAAAATCTTGCCTCCCCTCATACTTTTTATACTAGTTACTAAATACTCCATAAGGACTTTTGCCGTTGCTAAAGCTATCCCTGTCTCCCTAAAGTGGCCTTCTCTGTCTGTCTCTCTTGGCTGACTTCAACATATCCTTCAATACTCAATTGATACCTTCATCCTTAATGGGGAGCGGGGGTGCTGCTCCTACTGATACATATGTTACCCTTAGTGCCTCTACTAATACTGTGTTTATGTCTGTTTCTACCACTAGATTAGATGAGTATTCTTCAAAGGCAGGCACTAGATCAGTGGTTCTCAACCTTCCTAATGCCGCGACCCTTTAATACAGTTCCTCATGTTGTGGTGACCCCCAACCATAAAATTATTTTCGTTGCTACTTCATAACTGTAATTTTGCTACTGTTAGGAATCGTAATGTAAATATCTGATATGCAGGATGTATTTTCATTGTTACAAATTGAACATAATTAAAGCAAAGTGATTAATCACAAATTCATTATGTAATTCTATATGTGTTTTCCGATGGTCTTAGGCGACCCCTAAAATATATCTAAAAAGATATATTTTAAAATACTGCTGTATAATACATCTTTCTAAGATGAGGGAAATGTTCTATATTTTTGCTATACAATATAGTAGTCATTAAACACATGTGCCTAATGCTCACTTTAAGGACTGATGAATTGAATTTTTAATGAAACTTAGTTTTAATTAATTAAAATTTAAATTTAAATAGCCACATGTGACTTGTGGCTACCATTTTGGACAACGTAGTATAGAAACTTCTCCCCAATAGAGTCCCAATAGGAAACAGATGGAACACTCAAATTAAGATAATTCAAGAAGAGTTTATTTATAATTAGACTTTTTCTAAAGGTGTGGGCAGCTTCAAGGGAACCATATAAGAGAGTGCAATTACCTGTAGCAGTGACATGAGAGCAATGGTGAGGCAGAATTGATGGAAAGACACATAGCAAAGTTTATAAGCCTCAATAACATTGGGACTTATATATAATATGCAATAATAATTTTAATAAAATTTTATTGAATGAAGTTTATGCTCAAAACTGTTCTTTTTCATAAAATCTTTCCTGGCAGTTTATTTACTGATAAGTAATGTGATTTCTTTCTCTATATAGTGCTGATCCATGCCATATTTTCACAGCGTCTTTCCCCCTGGCTTTCCACTGTATGTGGTGCCTTTTCCATTAGCAGGGCTGTGCTGACTTAATGATGGCTCCTGTCAAGGCTTTCTTTAAGGAGCATCCACTCTGATGAGTACCTGGGATGTAGAGAGGCTCTGTCTGTTATCTGTGTTGTGTCTCAATATCCTGCCCTTTCCATCCCTTACCTCAGCACACACAATTTACCTTCAGTCCTAGCTCATTGCTTGATGATTTGTGAAGGCTTTGAAAACAGAAGGAATGAGGGCTTTTAAGCAGGATGGGGCAATTTCTCCTTGCTTTATTTATTTTTATGCCATGCAAAAGGAATAAAAGCATTCAATGGCTTGATGGAAGCCCAATAAATCTGGATAAATAGAGCAAGAACCCAATAAAAAAGCTGGAGGTGGAAAAAAGAAGAAAGATGGGGAGAAGGAGAAGAGAGAAAGGGAAGAAAGAAGGAAGACTTTTTACTTCCTATAATGACAGGGACTGTTTATTATTACCTAGAGAACAAAATGTCTTTGACCCAATGAAACATTTTAAACTAAGATTAAGCTCTGGGTAGAAATTAAGAAATCATCTTTATAGTCCACTTTGAATCTTTTCATGCTGTCACCTTCTGTTATTCTTTATTAAAACTTGCATGCCACTGCTGCTCTCTCTGTGCAGGCTGGCATTTTGTAGTTGTTCTGATGAATCATATTGCAGAAGCTAGGGAGTTTTTATGGCCAACACAACAGAAGTCGCTCATATTATTCCTGATACCCTGTGTGTGTGTGGTGGTGGTGGTGGTGGAGAGGGGGGAGGTTCTCTTTGTACCACTCCTGCCCCTTTTGACTATCTCTAACTTCATGAAGTGGAAAGAGACACTTTCCTCTAGAGCTAGCAGTGCATGAAACTGGAGAACTTTCCTCTAGAGCTAGCAGTGCATGAAACTGGAGAACTTTCCTCTAGAGCTAGCAGTGCATGAAACTGGAGAACTTTCCTCTAGAGCTAGCAGTGCATGAAACTGGAGAATAAGAGCTAAGTTCTTTAGGTGAAATTACCAATTGTCTTATATACCATTGTGTATCTGTTTATGCCATTGCCTTGTACAGCCCTGCATTAGCTTTCACAGTTTTTCACTGCTAGTATGGATAATTCTGGTTGGAGCTGGAAAGGTAGCCACACTTTTATCTAAGTAATTGTCACTGTTGCTCTTATTATTTCAACATCCAGAATTTCACTTATCTCTCTCTTTGTCTTCTTCCCTGTTTCTTCACTGGACACAGTCTCCATCATGCACACATTTCACACTTTCTTTCAAAAATAAAATGTGTTAAAGGACGTAGTAGTTCTCTACAGTGTCTCCCCCTAGGAGGCATCTGGAAATGTGTGAGGTCAAACTTTGGCTATCATAGTGCCGGGGAGTTACTGGTAGATTTTGGTAGACAGGGGTGCGTGGATGCCAAACATCCTGCAGCGTATAGAGTGTGGCCTCAAATTATGGTGATTTCCCTATCTTAAATATCAGTAACACTGTTGCTGAGAAAAATCTAGATCTAACTAAAGGTTTAGGTGGGTACCAGAAACCTCAACCAATAGAGAATTTTAATTGTGCCTTGATAGGTAGATATTAAAGTCTCCTCCAGAATTTAGTAGGACACCTTCCTGGTATATAGCAGGCCCATAATAAAACTATGCTGTGTTTTGAATCAAGTTGTTCATTTATAAACTAGTCAATACCATTCAATAAGTCCTATGCAAGTTACTTTCAGAAATAGAAAAAAAATTAAAATACATTGCCAACATCACAATCCTAACAGTTTTGTAAGGGTAATGATTATGCACAGAAACAAAATGGGTATATTGGGAAATTTTCAAAATGCTATGGGAACAAGGACAGGTGAGCATTTGCTTTTGAGTAGATTGCTGGGAAGTCTTTGTTGAAACCATTGGAGAATCGGTAGGATTTTAATAGGGGGCTATTTGAAGAGACACTTGCTGAAGTCAAAGGTACATTATATGAAAGAACATGGAAAAAAGACATAGAAAAATATTGGAATATTATTACTATAAAAGGACAGAACTTCAGAATATGTGGTGGAAGATAAAACTGAAAAGATAGGTTAGGGTAGAGTATAGATGGTCTTGAACTTCCTGTAAAGAAGTCCTTCCACTTGATGGTATGGATTTATGTATTGGAGGTAGGATATAGCATCCTGCCTAATGGTCTAGACTTTGCCTCAATGTCTTTTCTGAAGTCTATGCTATAAACTCCCTCAGTTATCAGCTGCTGATGGTATGGATTTATGTATTGGAGGTAGGATATAGCTTCCTGCCTAATGGTCTATAGACTTTGCCTCAATGTTTTTTCTGAAGTCCATGCTATAAACTTCCTCAGTTATCAGCTGTTTAAACTTGCCTTCCTGATGTTCAAGGTCTCCTCTCAAAAGCCCTTTCAGTTTATTAATTTAAATAGTAGCAATTTTCTAGAGGTGAATCACATAGTAATTTTTCTCAATCTCTTTTATACATGATATGGCTGAAGAAAGTATGATTAGATTCAATTTTGATCGTCTCCCACAAAAGTAATATGTAGAAAATACCAACCAAGGTGACTCTCCATGTACTTAATAGCCTGAAGATTTAGGTTAAGGATATAACATAGAGAATTGTTCTGCTTAAAGAACGAATAGGTATTGCACAAATTATCTTAAAGAGCCAAAAAACAGCTTCCAGTTCTTAAGAACTTGAAACAGTTTGTTCTTGGAATATTGTCAGCTGAAATTGTGGTCAACTTCTGCAAATTGTATGAATTTGCACTGCATATTTTATTTAGTGTTTAGCAAAACTCCAGTATAGTTCTGCATAACTTACACAATACACCATCAAAATGACTTCAGAAACTCCCACAGAAGTTGACAATTTGGGCATCTAATGCTTTTAAGTTAATTGTATGCTTAGCGGTTAAAAAGTCGATATGAAGATCACAGTTTTGGGAGGTAATGCTCTGCCTACTGCCACAATGAATGAAACCCAACCATGTATCAGACCTATTACAGACGCTTAAAGAAGAAAATAATGTGAGTTTTAATCACCGTTCTACTTAGTCTTATGTGAAGTGCTTATGAATCATATGCAATATCATAGCGAATTTTCAACCTATTCTTGAATTTTCAAGCTGTTATTTTCAGAAAATTTAGAAGGCAAATTGTTAAGTGCTAAAGAGTAATTTCATATCATTACTTACGTCATTTTTTTTCTCCCTTGCAGACCGGAAAAAAGGAAAGGAGTAATACCCTGAATATTGCAATAGACAACATGTGCAAGAAGACAAGAGACCTTCGAAGACAGGTAAGGAAAGAGAGAGACTTGGAGACAGAAACACCATGCAAAATGAGTCCTTTTTCCATTGCTGGAATATTTATATCTTGTTTTGTTCTTTTAAAATTAATTTAGAACACAAAACAAGAACAATAAATATAGCTGTTCTATGTTCACATACCTCAACTGTTTTTGTGACAAACATAATGGAGAAGAAAGCGTGTGCCTTATTATTAGTCAGAGTTACATTTGCATGCTGACTCTACTTTCATCAGCTGTGTGATCTTGGGGACAGATTTTATTTTCTGAGCCTCTCTGAACCTATAAAATAAAATAAATAATACACAATAGGGCTGTGAGGATTAAATGAAATCCCTATCAAGGCCTTGTATATAGCCAATTTTTAGAGAATGTTGGTGAATTGACCTTTTACATTAGAAACTGAGTTTATCATCCACATGCTTATAGCAAACAGCTAGTCATTCAGACACCCTACCAGTTACTCCTTCCAGATCTTTTCAGGATGCGCCACGAGTTGGTTTCTGTTTAAGTTAAGGGTACTTTTCAAACTTGGGTCATCAGGAGCCTAGGATTAGAAAGGATTTCATTCTATAATTGAGAAGTGCAGTATAATGCCAAAAATTAATTTTTTTCTCCAGAAAGATGAAGACCTTGCTATTTTTTAAGACACTTGCTTTCCATTCCTTTCCACTATTTAAAAACCAGAGTTCTTTTTTCATGCACAACGCTAACTTGGTCACCATTAACTCATAAAAGAGGGCCTGAAGCTTTCCACCCTAAGCTTTTAATGCAATATATTATTGTACTTTAATGGGAAGATTTAGTAAAATGACCTGAGAAATCCTTTAATCCAGAAATAGATTTGGAAAAGGAATAAATAGGGATCCCCAGCCAGTTGATATTAGCTGTGTAAAACACAATTTTGAAGCCTGGGAAAAATCCCAAATCTCAACTTTATGTCCTTAATGTGAATTCTATTTCTACTGTCAGCACTCAGAATTATGGAATGCAAGAGCTGGAAGGAACTTAGCGCAACCTGTCTTACGATGTAGATGAGAAACAAGCCAGTGTGGCCAGGTGATCCCTCTAAGGAGGAAGGGACATTGCACCTACACCAGGTCAGGATCTACACTGGACTCAGGAACTGTTAACCCCAGGGCCATCCTCCCTGTTGGTTGCTTGGCTTCAATTCTCAGTCTTCTTCGGGATTTCTACCCCATCTGCTCCTCCTCAGACTTGGAAAAGTTGTTCCTAGGAGCTATCAGATATTTTGTCTTTCATTCCTGTCTCATCCCTCTATGCCTTCAATGGAGTCATGCACAAAGAGTTAATCTACATTTATTATCTCCAAAGCTTTGGAATCATTTTGTAATGTCAAGATAAAGCAATTCCTGCATGTAAAGTGATTAGATTTAGCAAATAAAAGCACAGAATGCCTAGATAAATTTGAATTTCAGATTAGAACACATATATTTTAGTATAAGTGTGTCTCAAATATTGCATGGGACACAATTATATTACAAAATAATTGTGTTTATCTGAAATTCAAATTTAACCAGGAATCTTGTATTTATCTTTTTAAAAAAATATATTTTATTGATATTTTACAGAGAAGAAGGGAGAGGGATAGAGAGTTAGAAACATCGATGAGAGAGAAACATCGATCAGCTGCCTCCTGCACGCCCCCCTGCAAGCCCCCCACTGGGTATGTGCCGGCAACCAACGTACATGCCCTTGACCGGAATGGAACCTGGGACCCTTCAGTCTGCAGGCCGATGCTCCATCCACTGAGCCAGAGCCAAACTGGTCAGGGCTTGTATTTATCTTATAATCCTACTTGAGTTTCTACCTCACTATTGTCAGTAAGATATAGAAAGAGCATGAGGGTTACTAATACTCTTTCTCATAGAAAGAGAATGTTCCCAGCTTGTAGACAATTGCTGTGTTCCAAAGGTATGAAAATTTCTTGTGGTTTCACAGGTCAACATCCTCATTGTTTTGGGTTAAGTATTGCTGCTGAACAAACCACCACAAATGATAGCAACCCTCTATAATAATAAAAGCATAATATGCTAATTAGACCAGACATCCTTCTGGACGTCCTTCCAGACAACCTTCCAGATGAAGCTGGGGCTGCGAGGGAAGCCCAGGTCCCAGGTGCCTGCCAGCGGCCGGAGGGAAGCCTGGGTCCTGGGTGCCAGAGGGAAGCCAGTGCCGGCAGCCAGGGGAAGAAAGGCCTACTCTTGCACGAATTTCGTGCATTGGGCCTCTAGTTTTATTATATTCAGGATTCCACAGATTGGCTGGGGGTCAGCAGGGCCACTTCTATGGTGTTTTTACTGTGGTCTCCCATGTAGTGGAAGTCAAATGATGGCTATGTCTGGGCTCAGAGCTGGGTATTTGAGGCCTCAGTGCCTCTTCTTTCCTCTCTCAATGCAGTGTCTAATCTCCTAGGCCTTCTTCTTGTAGCTTCTCCAGCGGGGTAACCTGGACTTCTTACATGATGTTTCCGCGCTCCAAGAAAGGCCTGGAAGCTACCAGGCCTTCTTAATGCTTGAGCTCCAACGTCACTAGAATGTTGTTTCCTCCACATAATATAGATTAAAATAGTCACCAGCCCTGCCCCAGGTTAACAGGAGCAAGGAGAAGCAATGTCTCTCATGGGAGAAGTGGCATGAGTACATAGGAAGGGGTGGGCTCATTGGGAGCTGTCTTTAGACTCATCCGTGGTCTTCAATGTCAGTGAGGTGGTTGCTATGATTCATTCTCAGTATCCTTATTTGCCCTCCCAGGACCTCACTTTTTATCTTGATGTTTGTGCTTCGGGCAAAAAATAAAAACGAGTTTAAACAGCAATGTGAGTCATCTCCACCTCTTCCTATTCTTGCAAAATTTATCCAGCAGTTTGGTTTAAGCATCTTAACTCTTTCACACAGGAAGGAGAAAGCTACTACCCTTGAAATGTTTTTCTTTAGAATATTTAATGTTCATCTCTTGTTACAGATGTGTTGGTTTTTAGCAAAAAAATAAAACAGAATCCATCTTGCTGCCCATTCATCCTACTCCCCTTGCTTACCCATGGCTTGTCAATCAGCAACACAGAAACATTTTAACTTTGGTTCAAAGAATCATTGAATTTCCTCTGTGAGGAATGAGATAAATTGCTTAGACATATCCAGGGAGAAGCAAATTATACATTTTGGGGCAACAAGATGAAATGTCCTAGGAGGTGACTTAGTGTTTATTTGTTTCAACCCTCTTGCTCTGTGACTTGAGAACAAAGACGGAAGTCCTTGGCATGGTGTTCCAGATTCTCTGTAATTTTGCTCCAGCTTAATCCCCATAATTCTTAACGTTCCTTCCTCTTCCACTCGCTTTCTCAGTTCTTCTTCCTCAACACAGCAGTGCATTAACCTGTTCTCTGACTAAAACGTCTCCTACTATTCACCAAGTTTTCCATCACCGTTCTCCCCACCCCCAAACACACATGTGCATTTGAATATATGGCTTATTCAACTTGGTGCCTTCCTGGCTCCCCCTGTTTCCCCTACCTACCCCTAATCCACTGAGGAAGTTCGAGAGTAACATAAATACAATTTCTCTAATGAAACCTTTGCATTTTCACCAGCTGGAATTAATCTTTTTCTTCCCAGAGCACTCATAGCATGTGTTATTCTATTATAGCAGTGATCATATTTAGCCAGTATTTCTCTTCCCACTGCATTTTGAATCCTTAAAAAGGATAGTTATGACATGTCTCATTTAATAAATGCTTTCCAAAGCTCTCTATCAACTGTAGTCCTGACATTATTTATTTTTATCCCTAAAACAAGAAATAATGCCATAGTATTATCTCTATTTCTCAGGTGAGTCAATTTGCAAACAGCAGCCACCTACCTGGTAGAGCCAACATTTGAGCCCACATCTATTCAACCTCAGCCCAAATTTGTAAGTTCATCTTCAGAACTTCCAGTGCCTAATACCCTGGTTTTACTGCCATAAATTATTTTATTTCTTATTATTTATTAGGCATGTTTTTATAACTTAAATATTATTCTTCCTTCAGTCTCCATTCCCATTATTTATTTGAGAAATGCTTACCTATTGAAATTCTTAATAAGGGAGGAAGATTTTTAAACCTCCTTTACTTACATTTTTGAAACAATGAATTTATTCCACATCTATTGTATTATTCAGAGTGAAACACACATTTAGTTTCATTAAAGGCAAGTTAAAAATGTTATGTGTGTATATTGAGAAAAAAACGTATCTATTTCTTAAATGCCAAAGTAAGGATTTAAAATATGTCAAATAAAACAGAATTCTGGTAAAAAGAAACAAACAAACAAAATTAGAACTTGATTAATTCTTTAGTTGCTGAGTTGCTGAATTGCTATATCCATCTCTTCTTCATGTTGGTAATACCAGTGCCACACTCGGAAAAAAAATGTAGGATTTATACCTCCTTATCATCATTCTCATCATCAAATAATATTAAGTATCCATAAGATACAAGTCCCATTGAATTGACATAGTATGTATATACTGAATTAATTGTTAGGTAATTTAGTTCCTAGTAGTCAATTGAGTTTTGAAAGTTATATTTTACTGTTTGACTTAAAATTAAAATGCCATTAATATACACAAATATAAATTGTCCTAGTTCCCTAGGGATGATTCTTTTCTAAAATACTTTCTCTTCTTTCCTCTGTCCTTGACAGTTTCATTCTCTCTGTTCCTTTACTTGGTGGTGGCGGGCGGTGTGGGGCCGGGCTTTCTTACAGTTTTCTCATACAGCTTTCACTTGGGGGTTTCAATGGTAGAGAAATATATTATTTTTATTTGAGATCCCAAACCACTTACATCAGTGGGAGATAGAAAAATTGATGTCTCAAATCCTTTTATTAAATTGTAGTGAGAAAGATGGAAAGCCCCTCAGTTTGGTTTTGTGCCTGACATCTTTCATACAGGTATTTATTAAAAAATACATATACCTTTAACTCCTGTTG